ACACACTTACAAATATCAGGGAAGGTAGCTTAAACATATTTGTACGTCTGTTCCTCCCCTTAGATCAAGTCTCTGAGTGGACGGGGTTTAGCACCAACAGGCTGGTTGTAAGTTGCTGCTTTCTATTAAAGGAAGTGTTCAGCCGATTCCATGCTACCGAGCTACTGGGCGAGCATTCTTTGTCGGCACTCTCTCCACTTTTCAAGTCTTTACACAGGATGTGGGAGAGCATTGGGCAGGAAGCTCCTCGGGGAGGACCACGCCTCCTCCCTCAGGCCCCCTGCCACTCGTGTGAATGCATATTTGGTGCTGTGTCCACCTCGTGGAGATTTGTTGGCATACGATCATACAAGTGTTTTTCAAAGAAACAAAAACAACAACAACAACAAAAGAAAATAGTTGCATTGAATGGAAAATTTCGGAGGGGTGTTTCGCTAAGTTTGCTGTCAGAAGTCCTGGTGTATCTTCGTTTTTTTTCTGTTTCCTCTCAGCTTTATTATTGTTTTCTTACAGTATCGCACTGTTTCATCTCACATTACCTCTGAGGGAAGGTATGCAGATGCAGATAGGTCCAATTGTCTTTAACTGCATGCACTGACGAGTAGCGGCGCAGCTAAAGTGCTTTAAGTGCTTGTGCTTGAAGCATAAGGGCAGCTGGCACCTGCGGTGGGGCGAGGCGGTCACACCGGCCTCACCCCCTTTAAACAAGTCTACACCAGGTTGCACCACTGACAGGAAGAGGACCAGAGGGGGGTGTTCTGGAGTGAGGGGAGAACAGCTCAGGGTAGTGGGTTGGAGGCAGTGACGGGATGAGGCACAGAGACGCAGACAAGGTTTTGGACGGGTGACGGGGTAAAGACATGCAGGATCAAACATCCTCAGCACTGGAGCTTCGTGGCGGATGAGGTATAAGAGCAGGGAGCGAGGAGCTGGGTGGAGCTGTGGCGTGTTAGGGTGGAGCAGGGACGCGGATGTGGACGGGAACAACAGGGGCAGGAAAGAGACAGAAGACAGACTCATCTAAACAGACTGAAGACTCAAAATCCACCAAAAATCAGTCTCATGAGTCTCAGACACCTCCTGTCGGCTGGTGGCTCCGAAAAAAACACAAGAACGTCCACATAAACTCCTCGAGCTGCTGCAACATGGTTCATTAATTCGACTGCACATTAATGTGATGGGCATGTTCCATATATTCATGATGATAGTGCAGTTAGCGTTTTAGTCGTCTGTCACTCATAGCTACATCCACTTATACTGCTAGCAAACATCAAGTGTAAAGAATCGAACACGTTAGAGACAACGGAATTCGTGTATTCATCTATATTTCGGGAGAAATGTGATATTTTATGAGTTGGTACTTGAGGCGCCGGTTGTCTCGCTGCTTTCATCTCATTACCTCAGGGGGCTTTTTCTTATTGAAACTTCTTCACGTTTCAGTCTACAGCTGTTTTCAGATGTGCACTGGACTCCAGAAAATCTCCTGAAACTATCCAGTTGTCACGTATGTGACAACAAGAAGTTGCTGCGGACATTCTGAGTATCAGTGAAAACTGTGGATGATATCCGAATGAGCCCATGTGAGAACACAGCAGGAGATTCATGTCTGTAAATGGCTTATGCTTCACTGTCGCCTTTTGCGCCCAAAAGAACTAATTTAATAGAAGCAGTTTATAAATGTGTTTCCTGTAACTATGAGCACAGACATGCATGATCAGCTAAGACGTGGAGCTGCAGGAGTTTGTTCACATGGACGTTTTTATGCCGTTTTTGCTCAGTCACCTTCAAATCATCTGTAGCCGTTGGGAATCCAAGGTGATGTTAAAGCTGCCGCAGCTACAAACTACAAAAGTCTCATTTCGAGCCTGCAGGGGGCGCTATCTGAAACTCATGAGGTAGATTTTCAGGGAGTTGTTCCTTTAGTCGAGGACCACAGACGATGAATGTGAGAGTGGGCTCGGAGAGGTTGTTTTTTTTTTAAGGCACCGTAACTGCCTCCGTTCCCTTTTGGACAGTAGGACGAGGGAAACGCCACTGGCAGAAAGAAGGGCCTCTGGTGGCCATCAAGACCCCGCCGCCCCATAATCCTTCACTTCAACATGGACCCTGAGCCGGAGAGTGTTTTCATTTTGTTTTTCCTGCATTGTTTAATGGAGCAGTCGAACATCTCTGAACTGAGCTTAGTGACAAACGGTATTTACACAAATCAACTTCCACTCACTCGCTACGTTGCACAGACATGCAGCTGTGCACATGTTCGCAAGGCAGGTGCTCACACATTAAGACGCACACATACACACAGACAGACACACACATGTAAATGGTGGTGGTGCGGTTCTTGGGGTCACAGTCACAAAGGAGTCCTCTTTAAAGTGAGTGGAAAAGTCCCTCCTTCCTCTCTCTCTTAAAGAATAGTGCAGATGATAGGATTCTCTCTCTCCTCCCATTCTCTGTCAGCTTTGAGCTTCATCTTTTTTTATTTTTAAAGAAAGGACAGAGGTTTCCTAAGCACAGGACAGCTGTGACGGACAGGAGGCTCGGCCCGTCGCCTCCCCCCTTCTCCTATCCCTCCCTCTCTCCGACAGAAATGGGACCTGGAGGTCCGGAGCTCCTTCAAATGTTTACATAAAACTATATGCAAGAGCAAAGAAGGCTCTACCTCTTTCTTTCTTTTCTTTCTCTCTGTCTCCCCAACTTACTCCCACCCCCACCCCAACCCCCTTATTCGCTGTCTTCCTCTCTCCGTCCTCTCATTTGCTCTCCAGGTTGTAGCACTGCGTCTCGCCTCGCTCTCTGCCGTCCAGGCCGGGCAGAGGCTGCCCGTATTTGTCCACGCACCAGCAGTATCCCCGCCTCCTGCCTTTGGATGGACGGCACTGCAAAGAAACACAGAGAGGAGAAGAATAAGAACAAAAGTTTTAACTGCCTGGTTTTTTTTTTTTGTTGCAGAATATGTTTGCCGTGCAGAGATTGTTGTGTTCAGCCTTCAGCGAGAAGGATTGCACGGACAGGTGGAACCAACACAAACATCAGTCAACTCCGACTGCCAGCGTCAGTTCAAAGTCAGAGGGAGAAGACATGAGTGTGGGGGGGGGGGTGGACTTATCACTTAGAGCAACACTGTGAAAACAGATTAGCGTTTCCAGGGTGACGAATTATTATCCTGACACAGCTTTATCAACACCACCTTCACTGTGCAGTTGAGTTTTATAATAACACTCCATCTCTGTGTTGGCTCTCAGGTTCTGGATGCTTGTCAGGAGGCCAAGTCGTGCCTCAGCACAACTCAGACAAACATCTCATCGATCACTAGCAGGAACGCGCTGCAGCACATGAAGACATGAGGAGTTTTTATGTTCAGCCACTTTTCCACTGGTCAAAAAACAAAACACCACCCACCAACATCTTGTCTTTGTCTGCGGTGGGAATGAAAACAATCTGACTCCCGAGTCAAACGACAGCAGGAGACACAAGTTTTATCGTGACTGAAACATGACACCTGCATGAACGTGCTAATTTCTTCTACTTCTTTATTTTGGCAGTCTAGACGCTGACGCTTCACATTTTCTGCGCAACGTTTCAACACGTATTGAACTCCCGTTTGTTTCTTAACAGCCAATTTCTTTTTTCATATCGCAGAATATGCAACACTGTCGAGACAGCGAGGTGAGAGAGCTTCTCGGGTTTGTGGCGTTGAACATGATGCTCCGGAGAAAAATGACAAACTCCTTGTGATATTTTCAATAATCGAATCTATTGAACTGGCTTCTTAGCAGGAACCGCCATGCAACATTAAAACATGAGCAACCCGGGTGTAAGGCTAAGCTCATGTACACTCTGCCTACGACTCTAAACCCCACTATGAAATTAATGCTGGAGCCCTCTACTGGCCCTGGACTCTAATGACATAACAGTCACTTCGTACATGACCCAAGTAGCAATGGAAGAGGAGTCAAATGCCTTTTTTGAGCGGGTTCATCGATTATTAATTTGGGTGTAAAAGAGATATGAGAGACACACAGCACAGATGCTGCAGCTGTGAAAGACCATAATAAACATTTATGGATCGGAGCAGGACTTTCACTTACAGGTGAAACCAGCGTGGTGCCGTCTATGAGCTGAGGAGCGGTTCATACATCAGGCTCCTGACCAGAGGGCGCAAATTATGAAAAAGCAGATCAGTTTTGATAGAGAGAGACAGCGAACGAGGAACGGAGTGTGAAGGTAAACACGGAGTTGCTAAAATATTTGCCAAGGCCAGTTGGAGGGCTGCAGGGAAACCAGCGCTGCTATTCTGGGAAGCTGGCAGACACTCAAAATCATCTGGAGCTGATTATGGCCTGCGATGTGCACGAGCATGCATGCGTGTGTGTGTGTGTGTGTGTGTGTGTGTGTGTGTGTGTGTGTGCACATAAACGCACATCTTCAAACACACAAATCAGTTGTATGTACTGTACATACAGTATGAAAACCCCCCCACCTGCTTCCACACATGTGCTGACATGCATGTGTGCAGTAATGTCAGACGGCAACTTTATGAGCTGCATTCAGGGAGCACACATGAAACGACCCAATCAGTTGGGCTGAGAATAACCCCCCCCCCCTCCTTCGTCTCCCCCTCGGTGACAGGTCCGAGGGGTAAGCGGAGACACACCTGTCTACGACCTTGCAATCAGTGAGTCGACGATAAAGACGTTTCGAGACGTGAGCTCCAGAGGAAGTCTGCAGATCAAGGTCTGGACTTTCTCCGGAGTTTGTTTTTTATATTTTACTCTATTTTATCAAAAGATGTTTTTTTCTGATTTCCATATCACACTGATTGTGTTCATGTTTCTGTTTGATGATATAAAAAATGAAATGAATGACCCATGATTGGTTCTGAGTTCGTATCCAAGATATTTTAGTGTGATTTCAGGAATTCGGGAGGAAGTGGAGACGTGTAGACCATCTTTATTCAAAGTCTGTGAATCGATGGGTCCCAGTTTTGTTGGTGAATATATTGTAATTTTGGTTTTATGTATATGTCTGAGTAAGATGTCTGTGGTCTCTCCCGTGTTTCCCCATTTGCTAACTTGTTAAATTGTTGGCTCTGAAGAAAGAGAAGACGAGGGGTCTTTTGGCGTCCATATTTCTGTTGCCTAGCAGCTGCGTTCTAATGACTTAACCACTTAAAACGCCAAGCATGCCACGTACACGACTTCCCATGTCGTAACCACAAGCTCAGGAGTCTCACTTGAGAGCAGGAATGAGAACCTGCCCGTCTTCGGCGAAGAAGCGTCGGATTCATGACACTTTTTAGGCCGATGATGGACTATAATTTCTACACGGCTCATCGGATGTAAATGCCCTGAAATTAAAGCTGAAATCAGCACTTTAATCTCCAAGTTATTGTTTATTTCAAATTCCTACAACTTAGGAATGCAGAGCCATAACAAAGAAACGCTCCTGAATCCTGCAGACTGTGTCGTAGACTGTGCACAGAGGAAGACACACAGACAGACACACAGACAGACACACAGACAGACGGGCTTGAGAGTGTGACCAGGTGTCTGTTTCCGGCGGCGTCCACGTCCACGTCCACGTGCAGCCTGAGTGCATGATCAAAGGAAGCTCTACAGAGACAGAGGCCTCTTAAAATACCAACAACTACTGCAGCAGTCTGGTGGAGAGCACGCAGGCGGACACACCCCCTCCCCTCGTTCTCACACTCTAACATCATCAGGGGATTCTTTTTCGATGAACTCGGGTTTCCTCCCACCTAACACTCCTCTTCCTCCTCTGTTTCACCCTGTTTTCTCTCTCTCTCTCTCTCTCTCTCTCTCTCTTTCTCCTCCCTTCATTCCCCCTCACGGTGCCATCGTCTGCGGCCAGGTTCTATTTTTGCCCCGACCCAGCGGACGAGACTGCGGAGAGGAGCTTAACATTGTGTTCCTCTGCTCTGGTTAATGATGATAGAGTCCTGTATGGGCCTGGTGTGTGTGTCAGTGTGTGTGTGTGTGTATGGGAGGGTTGAAAAGCCAAAGGAGAGGCGGAAGGGAGAGGAAGAGCAAAATGTGCATGTGTGCATTCCCCTGTTGCTTGGCTACCTCTGAATTTCCGTTCAGTCTCTCTTTCATCTGTGAACTATTAGCAGTCATCTCAAGCAATCCTTCCTTTATTGCTTCAATCCACTCTCTCTCTCTCTCTCTCACACACACACACACACACACACACACTCTCACTCTAGGACATCCAGACTTCCACTGAGAACTGGACGTCACTTTACAGCTTCCTTATGAAGCCTTTAAGGACTGAAAGACAAAGCATCACTGAGTTTCCACTTTTCATTGTTGAAATGTCAGGTCTCTGTGACACTGAAACAAAACTACACTGTTGTGTGACGACATACATATCACCTATCGCACGCTGAGCATAAAAATAGAAACTGACCCTTGAAGCTAAAGAAATAACTTTTGTTTTTAAAACTCAACTTTCACCTGAAAGGAGGAAAGATGGAAAGAGGAGATAAAAACCTGTGTTGATTGTTGTGCTTCAGCTGAAGACACTATGGTGCCTCAACAGTTTGAATTACGGGAGCATTATATGTCATGGCAACACTTCTCTTCCTAACTCTTGATATTTGCTTCTGATTTATCGAGTAAACTTTATTTTTAACACACCTAGCGACTATAAACATACTGGATACTCCTCCAGCATAAACCTAAATGCTGCAATTGGTTTCTATAATGCAAAACTGCATCAATCTCAAGTTTCGTGTCACACACTTGCATCCAGGTTCCCAGGGTCTAAAACCGGGATCAGCTCAGACCTCACTGCTCCGAGTCCGGCCCCGCATGGTCCGCACGGCTCTCGCTAAAAAGGCTAATTTCATCCACCCCACCCATTCATAATGCGACCTTTATGGGGTGTGTATGCGTGTGTGTTGTGTGTATGAATGCGTGCTCTTGTGATGCTGGTCTTTATAGCTAATAGCAGCGCCGCTGGGCTTCACGGACATTAAAAAGAGCCTGTTCTGACCACAGGATAAACACAAGCTCATAAAATGCAATGTGTGTGTGTGTGTGTGTGTGTATAGGGGTGCATGTATATGTATTTGTGTAAAAGAAGGTGCATCTGTGTGCGTGCGTTGAGAGTAGCTGCAGGATATTGCTTTTTCTAGAAAAATATAGGATTTAATGAAAGTCTGAGTTTGAATTGAACTGCAGAATACTTGGTGTTTGTTTTGGGAGAATGGAGCAGACACACTTCACAATAGGAGCCTGAATATTAAACTTTACAAAGTTCACTCAGAATTTGACGGAATGAGACCGGACCAGGTGAGATCGATGTTAGTACGACTGGATGAGGTGAGAGATGATGTGACGTGAGTGGACGAAGAGGACACGTTTTAAATGGGACATATTTAGTCACTTCTTCAACAGCTGCGTTACACAGTTTTCACCAAAGAGAGACACATTCAACGAGCACAGACTGATGCCGACTAACAAAGCTGATCATGTCTTCAGAATTTCACATTCACACTTGGGAATGCAGGCTGGAGGAGCTGGGGAATCGAACCACCGGTATTGTGGTTAGTGGACGACCCTTAACTCATTGCCAATACAAAGAGAAGAAAATTAGGTTTTGGATCTAATTTTATCTGCCAAAAATAAAAAGAGCAGTAATATGAATCAGTAATGAAAAGTACTATTAGCTGAAGCACCAAGCTGATCATGATGACAAACTTCAGGGCTGTTGTATAAAATCAAGTTTGGAGCAGCACTGATATTAGGGATTGAGTTATTCTTTGATATTACTCATCTGTCTCAAAATTAAAAGATCAAATCTTTGTTTCTTGTGTTAAGACATTGAACATTGATGCATTTCAATTTGGTGTTTGTATTCTCTACTACAATACTTTTTTCACATTAAAGCTCAAACTCATGCATCGTATTGCAACAGATATTGGAGAAAATATTCCTGTGTCGTTTTATTATGCAACAGCTAACGGCAAAAAAACAACGACTCCAGATCCTGCAGCGAGGAAGAAGAAGTTGGTGGATTAGAAATTCAGGGAGGGAACAGAACGAGAGAGAGAGACAGAGTGAAAATAGCTGTCTGGGTGCCCAAAGGTTGGCCAGTTATTATAAAGCCATTGTGGTCAGTGTGTACGTTTCCACAGATCCTTCTGAGTCACGCTCAATAAGTCAGCTCTTATGGGCCTGGCACTGTCAGGACTGAGGGAGGGAGGGAGGAAGGGATCAGGGTAAGCAGGCACCTGGCTCACATCCTTAACCCACTGCCTCTTCCTCCTCCTCCTCCTCCTCCTCCTCCTCCCACCATACACACTAAACTCTGAAAGAGTACACAGAGAGACGCAGACACTGTCGTCCCATTCACAACCCTCTGCGGGGTGATTCCTGGCCAAACAAGGAAGGAAAAGCCAGGTGGGCGGAAGGGCAGGATGGACAGAATGATGGAGCGGGCAGACAGAACAAAAGACGAGTGGATGAGTGTAGGCAGGGCACAGTGGGGGTAATGATGGGTGGGTGAAATGATGAATGAGAGAGAGAGAGTGAGACTTTGAGGGGTGTAATGAGTGGATCATTGTTGGGCATGCATGACCTGAACTGGGATACTGAGCCAATTCATATAAGTGCTGCTAAAAATAGGTTTCTCTGTAGCCGAGTTCGGGCGAACGCTGCTCAAACTTCTGCAGCAGACTGAAAGCACTCGTGTTACCAGCGACATGCACAGAAAACCACACATGCACGCTCACATACATGCTAACTAAATTTAAATGTTTCCTATATTTGCACAAATTGCACACACTCATCAATATCATATCCATGAATCATTTTCTGGAAAATCAACGAAAACGTCAAAAAATGCCCAATTTCACAATCTTGGAAAAAAAATCCTGGATTTGTCCGCTGATGTCTCATCCTTCCACCAAGTTATGTGGACATCCCTTTAGTAGATATTGCTTCATTATCACAGAGTATAAATAAAGATTGGTGACACATTTCCACTTCCTCCCAATATCCAATATTGGAGGCAGAGTCTGTTGAGCAGTGATCGGGGGATGGAGGCGGGGTAGCAACGTCACGGCGATACACGTGCTCGACTAATCGTGACCTGCAGTTATTGAGCCACGGTCACACAAAAACCCTGAAGCTGCACCAGCGCTGCTGCACAAAGAGCCGTTCAAAGTTTATTATTATTGAACGAACCCTTTGTCCAAAGCACTTCCTTTGACCGTTAACAATACGCCTGACGAGTGTGAAGCTGTTAAGATTAACGGTTTTTAAGATATGAGAGACAGACAGAGATTTAAGGGGAAAGATATGATATAAGATAAGATATAAGATTAATATCTCAAGACTAAAACTCTTTTACCGTAACATGAAAACCCTTAACGCCCTTTTAAAGAATCTGGAATCGTCCCAGCTTCAGTCCGTATACCTGCCAAACAGTCTCCAATCTGGAAGTCAGAACTTTCTTGTCAGCCTGGATCTATCGAGGAAGAATATGGTGGACGTGACATCGCAAACAAATCAAACACAAGTCGACAACTTCTACCCGAACAGGAACTGGTTGCGAGTGTTTAGAATAAGGAAGAGCAGGGACTACTTTCATGTTACGAGGATTAAGCCGCACTTTTGCAGCTGAATCCCTGATTGTAGTCTGAAAAAGACGATTTAAATTGGGGCAAAACACTAAACATAACCACAAAGACCAAGAACTGCAAGAACGACAAACAAACCTCAAACGATGCACTAAAGCAACTTTTCCTTCTCTCTGTGTTTCACAACAATGACCATATAAAGAGGCAGAGACGCACTAACAGGAATTTATGTTCACTTCTTTACTTGTTATCTCTGTGTGTTTGAGTTTCTTGGAACAGTTTGTGTTGCCTCTTTGTTCCTGTTGTTATCAGTGTTAAAGATCCACATGAAAGATGAAACTCGCAGCTGTAACTGTCAGTTCGTGAATATATGATATGAACAGATTTTGGCTGGAGATACCACAGACAGCTTGTGTATCATGTGTGTGGTTAAGCCCCTTTCCCCTCTGCTCAGTCCTTTCACCCCCCCACCCCCCCTCCGACCCCTCCCTCCCTAACCCCTCTCACCCCCCACCCCCCTTTGCTTCCTTCTTTTCACAGTATTGTCACCCTAGACGGTTCACACGGTATCCTCTTCGCTGTGTTTCCGGTCATAAATCTCTGCAACGCACCGTGAAGGCACATCCCCTCAGATGGATTTAACACACAACACCCCGCAACCCACCGGCCCTCTAAGAAAAGGGCGACAAGAGCTGGCACACTGCTGCACACACACACAGTTAAACACACACACAAACACACACACACCTTGAGCAGTACTGACACTTTCCTGGTAGGTATATGTTGATGGATTCCAGGAAAAGAACAAGGAAGTGTCTGAATAAAAAGGGAACAATGAAACCGCACTTTGCACTTTGGGGAAAGAGTGAGGCAAGAATCTGAGAGGATGAGTTTATACTGTTTGGGTGTGTGTACGTGTGTGTGTGTGTGTGTGTGTGTGTGTGTGTGTGTGTGTGTGTGTGTGTGTGTTATGGCTCGAGTTGTCTCTGACTCATGGTGCTTGTGGGGTTTTTTTGGTGACTCATGCGTTTCTCAGAATGAATCTAGCAGCATGGAATCCCTCTGATAAGGCTCCCAACCTCAGGAAATTTATTTGACACGCTGTATGTCTCAGTAATGCCCCCACCACCTCAACCGCCACAACCCCCACCCACCCATCCATCCGCCACCTCCCCGTCTCACCCTTCCTCCCCTCAGGTCAGCACATGTCACCCACCAAACTACTGCTTCCTCGTTCTTTTCTTTTTTTCCCCCCCGTCTTGCAAATGAGCAGGCCATGGGTGGCCCGAGTCTGCTGCACCACGGACAAGAAAAACTAAACCAGTGTCAGTCTGTTTGTTTTTTTTACCTCACCAACAGCACCCCACACCTACACACCCTCACCAAAACTACCGTCATCAAACACGCGCCATACATACACTCCCCTGCCGCCACATCTACTGTGCCACACACACTCCCCGACCGCATTCTTACATCCCTACCCCCCACACTCTCCCACACCACACACCCACAAACACACCTGACCGACTTCATTTCCTGTGAGGCATGAGTCAGACGGCTGCAGTGCATTTACTGGAGTAATACATGGTTATTAGCCATTCTGATAATATAGTGTTGATGTGGCTGTCAAGGCAACCTGAGCTGCACAAAAAAAGGGGGCTGTGTGGGTGGGTGGGTTGGATGAGTCGGCGAGGATTCTTTGGAAGTGTTCAGGCATGCGGTCCTCAGGTGTGTGCATGTTTAAGTGTGTGTGTGTGTGTGTGTGTGTGTGTGTGAGAGAGAGAGAGAGGGAGATGGTGTGTAAAATAAAGAAACAGCAGGGAGAGCCATTCACCTGTTTTTTCTTGTAGAAGCCCTTTCTGTCACAGTTGGGTATGCGGAAGCCTCTGGGGTTGAGCACGTTGCTGATTTTAAGACTGTTCAGGATGCTCTCCATCTCCCGCCGACACGGCCCCTAGCACACACACATTCGCAGAATAAGAAGAACATGAGAAGTGTCCATGCAGTTCTGGAAGTTTATGGCGAACATCACGGACGTTAACGCCCCATCAACGTCTCATTGAACTTCTGGTAATGAAAATGATGTCCCTGCCCGGGAGTATTCAGCTGCAACATGCAACTTCACCTCGAGATGTCACTAAATTCTACACACTGAACCTTTAAGTCTGACCTAATTAGTATTTGAGGAAACTGTGATTTTGACAAAAATTTCAGATGACATACTGTGAAGCTGAACAATGCGTTCCCGAGTCGCAGTGATGAACCCACAGTTATGTCCAGATTGAAGAGGTCGAGACCTAAATTGAGACGTCAAGTGGTACCTTCTCTTAAAAAATGTTGGAGAGCATGTAATTTATATAATAATGATGTTTAAATGATAGCAGATATGCGTAAGGGACCCGGTGGAGTCTTTGACCACAAATTGCTCTGCACAGCAATGTTTTGAAGAGAGATTCCCCGCACTGTTTGTATCTTGTGTTTTCGCTGCACGTGCACGAGGCCGCACATGCATACCACCTACAATGGGTTGACAGCAATGTGCATTTTTTGCCAGGGTGGCCAGCCACGTGCTCCGGAGAGCCAGTAGTTCATTCCAAACCAGTTACCTCTGCATCTCATTCTCCATCTGTCTCTACTCTGAATATTGTTCCCAGAATACAAAGTAGCTCAACAGTTAACAGGAGAGTTAACAGGAAAGTTACAGTCACTCATGAAGGCCTTTTTAAAGAAGATTTTTATTGTCTTGTATTAATTTGTCAAGGACCATGAATATTATTAATTCTAAATGTTAATATTTGATCTATTGCACATTCTGCAGATCAGAATCAATGATATTTCTATATAACTTTCTGCCATTAGACGTCAGAGCTCTTCCTGTGGTTGTGACTTACATACTCAGTCTCCCTCTTGCTCTCCAGGGAGAAGTTGTGCATGTCCATGTTGGCTCCTCCTGACACTGACTCCACCTTGTAGCTCTGCGTCTTCCTGTTCTGATCTTTCTGGATCAGCTTGTTGTGCAGCGGAGGCCTGGTGTCCATCGAACCCCGACCGTGTCCACCCTTCACAGTTGCCACGCCGGTCAGCACCGTCATCGTCTGCGTAGCATTGGCAAAACCTTCTTCTACTTGATTTCCTCCACCCTCTGTGAAGATAAAGGGAAGTCAGTCTTTAATGATAAAGTTTAGTGGTTGACGGCCCACATACAAACATCCACAAAGAGTATATAAAGATGGACGATGCGTCTCCAGGTCCTCGTTGAAAAATATTTAACGTATATATTGACTTTCATGTTCGGTCCATGTCCCATCCACCAAAATGGAGGAGGCATACTTACTACCTATTCTGCAGTCAGCCACCAGGTGGTGATGGAGATGCTTTGACTTAACTTTTGGTGAGCTGTCATGAAATCTATCTTTATATACGGTGTCAAATATGGAATAGATTTACGCAATAAAATTAAAGTGAAATAATTTTGTGGATGAAGCGATACATCACCATTTGTATATGTGTGGATAGATTGTAGCTGTAGAAATATTTAGTATATAAACAAACGATATTTAATGTGGCCTATGAGTAATTGTGAGGTTTTACAAAGACTGAAATTCTAATTTCCCATCTTTGCGTGTGACCCTGAAGTTCCAGCTAAAGATACGAACTCTTGAACCAATCAAAACGCTGCAAGATGAAAACAGAGGAAGTCCAACTATCCAATCAGCGCAGAGGAGGACCCGCCCCCCTCCCCCATCCAAGTGTTTGCTATCTGCTAACGTTAGCCTAGCTAACATGCTAACCGGTGCTAGGAGGTGTCAGGACCGGTGGGAGAGCCGCTCCTTCCCCCGGCGGCTCCCGGTGCTGCTCCCGGTCGTTACAGCTGCTGGAGGTGAGTCAACGTGAAGAGTTAGAAACTGTCAAACTTCCAGTTTTTATTTTTATCACGACGTGAATCAGCTTCTGTCCAAACCTGACCTGTTTTACCAGCCTGCTCTTCACCTGAAGCCACGTGACCAGGTGCTTCACCTCATTTCACCTGTCGGTCCTGCGCTTCGCTGATAGTCATGAGAAAATAAAAGGTTTTATTTGCTATGAAAGAAGAAGTGTCGAGTGTTGGCAGAGCACCTGTTGAGTGTTTCTCCTGTGGCCTGGCTGCAGCTGCAGCAGTGAGATGTTGCACGAGTGTTGCAAAATGTGTTTTGTGCTCAGTCTCTGGAATCTTCATGTGCAGCGTTACTTCAAACTTGTCCTCACGTGGTTAGAACAGAGGAGAATCTGTAAATGTATCACCCCACCTCCAGGGATTCAAACAGCTTGAAGGCTGCGATTAGAATATTGGGATGATAACCTGTCACAGCTGAAGTATACGTGGTATAACATATTTTATGTTTCACGTTCTGATCGAGAAGCTGCTTCATAACATTGTAAAGTTTGCGGTTTTTATTTAAATACTATGGTATAAAAGTATGAATGGGTGCTTCTCTTGCAGCATCATCACAGTGACATTTGGATTCAGAAGTTTTGCGGTGACAGTTGAAAGAGCTCAGGTTTCCTCCGTTTCCACCTTCAGTGGATTTGGAAAGATGCACAGCTCTTCATATACGTTGTCATGGCTGACGATGCAAATCAGAGCCAAATCCAAACCACGAGACTGAAGGAACTGTCAGCAGACCTCAGAAGCAGAATTGTGTTGAAGTAGTTATTTGCAACGCTACAAAACAATGTGCTGAACAGAACGTTCTATGGACTGAACAATTAAGGACTTTGGTAGCTGTGGTAACAAAGATCCTGATGAGCACAAGGTCTGAGATCCAGATAGCCTGTGTGGAGGTGGGACAAACTTCCAGGAGTGGGGCCATCAGCCAGAAAGAGGCTTCTCCGAGGAGAAAGACACATGACATCACCTTCAGGACTTACAGACGATGAGAAACAAGATTCTGGGGAGGGGTTTCAGGATTTTTCTGGGGACAGAAAACTTATCAGGGTTCGGGGGAGAGCTGAATGGAACAAAGAACAATTAAGGAAAACCTGTGAGAGTGCTCAGGTCCTCAAGGTGGGACTGAAGGTTTATCTTTTAACAGGACAGCACAGCTGCAGGTGTGCAAACCTGCAAAGTAGACTCGAGGCTGTAAACACTTCAACTGATGGACTAAGTAAAGTGTTAGTTTAGTGTTTCTAATAAATTTCAACAGTTTTAGAATAAAGCTGCAACATTTCAAGTGCGTTCTGCAGCTCTGTGATCTGGCACAGAGCTCGTCACTGCCTTGAAGAGGCCTGGTTCAAACAGACGAAATAAAGTTAGCTCACTGCCTTGTGGGCTGTTTGGAGCCAGAAACGAAGCCAAGTAATAAACAGAAACATGACAATTTCATATCCACAAATTTCCACAGTGTGCCGACCAAGAGATAGAGTCACAAAGAGGAGCCAAGTCTAAACACAGCTTTTAAAGGATTGGGGCTAAAAGAGGAGACGGTTCAGGCAGTGAGAGGTAAAGTGGGAGATAAGGCTACAAATGTATTATTAGCTCGTGGAGCTGGCTAAGATTCCTGTAAAATCGTTAAAGACAGGCAGGGACCGTCTGACCGAGACGCAGCGACAGGACGGGAGGGGGGGCTCCAAACGCTCCTCATGAATACAGGACACGACCATTCTACTCGTCCTCTGGTCTGCGACACCATCCCACAGTCAGAGAAGCTAACAGAGCTCGGAGACGATGTCCCGGAGAGAGAGGGTGACGATGGGAACACACATGCAGTAGGGTGCTTACACACACACACACAGATTTTAACCGTTAACTCAAAGCAGATTTTGTGTTGGAGGCCTGCGGTGAGGGCGGCGGGCGGGCATGTAGGCGTCTAGCTCGTGTGGGCAGGCAGGCTGGCAGCCCACCCTTTCTCCGTGACCACCTGATCAATTAGTGATGTGGTGGGACTCCGCAGTCTCCCAGGCTCACCAGAACTTAGAATAACAACATGGATGTCAGCAACAGCATCGGCTGCATCAGGACGGAGTCAGACGGCGACAGACGCTCCACGTGGTTTCCCGAACTCTTGCCAAAAAAAAAAAAAAAAAAAAAAATGAAGCCCATGACCAAAGACAGAAATATGGCTATGTTTAAAGTAAGCATGACTTTTTATTGTCGATATAAACTTTTATGTAAATTTTCAAGGAAGACTGGGCGGATCTGGATAAACACATTACGCAATTTGTTTGTATAATGGCAGAGGGGTAAACAGCACAAACTGTGGTGAGCGGGGCTTGTTAATGTCTGGGAGGAGAGGTGGGGGACTGATGGCGGTGGAAACCACCGAGCTGCACCGATACACTACGACCAGCAGGGGCGCTTGGGACCATTTCCCACATTTTTTCTTCCTCATCTCCACAAGTGCATGGAGATACTGTAAATGGTCATGAATTGATATGTTTGGCTGTAAATGATTGTGTTGCCGAATGCTTCACAGGCCTAAGATGTACTTATTTGCATCCGTATGAAAAATGATGTTTGTCTTAGAGGCTGAGAAACTGATTTAAAATGACAGATGTAATTAGAGGAAATTGAAGAGTAGGAGAAGGTAAAACAGTTTGGACAAGTTGTTGAGTGTCTCTGAGTGTGTGTGCTGGATGCATGCATGTGTATGTAACTCTGGCTGTGTGTGTGTGTTCTTGTGTGTCTGTGTTTATGAATGACAATGTGACTGCCGAGTGCTTGCACACCACACATTGCTGTGGCCAAACCAAATAACCAGTAAGATGAAAACACACACTGAGGCTCCTGGAGGCCTGACGTCAGCAGTGCCCCAACACACAGCCGTGTGTATTCACACGGAGGTGGCATGTGTGCCGTTTCACCAGTGTGAGCAGCGTGCGTCCATTCACATGAAACACACTGTGCATGTTTCTGCACATTGTGTTCATTGGTAACAGGCTTTGGTTTCGTGTTTAAGTGTGTGTTGGTCTCTTATGGGGAACTCAGAGACACGACACACTCATACTCACGCCCCTCTCAGCTGAGATGTTTTGGCCCACATGGACTAGTAGAGCAACAACACATAATTTAATTCTGTGTACAAAAATCCCTGAGCTTTATTTGAAGGAAAATGGGGACATTACAAAAGACAAGGACATGGTCTGCGCTCAGCCTCAGCTAAATACTGTATACTTACAGTATGTATGTGGCAGTCCTTAACTATTGGTTTGAGGGAGCCAGGCTCTGTGCGTGTGTATATGTGTGCTCGTGTGTGTAAGGGAGAAAAAGAGAAGGAGCAGTGTTGCACTTTCTGAAAACAAACAGCCTGCACATCGCAAACGACGAGCTTTTTTAATGTATTGCGCATTTTACGCATGATGGCACGAATCTTTACGCGCACGGAAAAACAAAGTGTCGGGCTGCCCGGTGAGAAAGCAACGACTCATTTCTGCGTAAACACCCTGACGGTGGCTGGTGTTATCCTCTAAAACTTCCAGGAGCCTATAGGATTTGTTTAACCCAGATCAACACATCACTGTGCAATGTCAAGCCTCCCCTCTAAAACCCCGCGGTCAGGATCGGTGGTTTACACTGTGGCAGGCTGCAAAACAGCCCCTGTTTCTTTGTGCCTTTCTATCTTAAGTAGATCAGTGTAAGCACCTTTATCTCATCCACTATCAGTGCGACGCTATAATCTGTGTTTCCATGAACAGGGAACTCCCCAGGTCTGGTCAACAAAGAGCACCACCTCACGGGGAGCGCGTCAAATCCACCAAATAACCACAACAACAACATAAAACAACAAGGTGTCTACAGTTATTCAAACGTGCAAATAAAAACGTGGCTGTCTACCTGGTTTTTGCGCTGGTATGAGGATGCTGTTGAGTTTTTTGGACGCGGCAGTGGAGCACACTCCCCGTCCCTCCAGCAGCGCTTGCAGGGGTCGGCTCTCCCCCGGCTGGTGCTGGCAGGTCAAGCCGAAGCCGCAGCGCGCCGTGTACACTCCACACGCCTGTCCCTCGCGCAGGGCGCACGTCATGCAGCAGCCGCAGCCGGGCTCCTTCATCCGCTCCGCGCAGTCCTTCGGCAGGGGCTTGCACTGCAGGAGCGCCCCGGCGTCGCACGGCTCGCACCGGACCACCGGCCCCACGGTGCCGACGAGCCGGGCGAACGCAGCCAGCGCAGCGGCGAGTAAAAGCACACAGGCACCGGGCATTCTGCCGATTAAGCTGGTCACAAAGGGACAGTATGTGAGTTGTCACGTAGGCTCAATGGGACTCTCTGTGACACAGCGAGGCGGCTAGCCTTCTCCATCTGTATTTTCTTTTACGCGAACTTCTCGTTTTATATAGGCGGAAAAAAGAGCCAAGAAGTCACACCCTCCTCCGTATGAATAATGTAAACGGAGAGCCCCGATATGAGGGAGCGCTGCAGCCTGAGGAGAGCTCTGCTCAAACATTTAACTCTGTTAATCACTTAGGCTCTAATAATTTACTTAAGACCGTTCATGTACGGCGCCTTTGTGCTCTCCCTGTCCTGAGAACAAACCCAAAGGTGTCTGTTCTGGAAATTTGGCCTCATGTCACAAGACTGAATTCTGTGGACTGCAGATGCGTTTCTCTTTATTAGTAATATAAACATGTTCCTGTCACAAAATTGCAACCAGAGTGAGAAATCAAGTGTATTCCCTCTGTGCAGACTGTTCCCAGTCCTCTGGAGGTTTCCACACCACTGGCCACATCCCCTGCTGGCACCAGTGGTATGTGATTGAATGCCATTGGCAGTACCCCCCACCATGCAGCACATTCCTCTGGGCAGGTGTGTAGGTGGCCTCCATATTAACCCACTGAAACAATAATTTCTTTACATGTAACCTCTCTGTGAGTGGGACCACATGCTCAGCGGTGGGTGCAGCCAGCGAGGTATTGCTTTACTGTTCTGGGTGGTGGAGCCTGCAGCGTTAGAATTGCACATCAGTCAGAACAGCACCCACAGCTACTTGAGCACGTGCAGACCAGACTACATACCCGAGCCTTCTGCCCAAATCCTTTCAGAAGCCGTGCTCACCTTTCACATACCCTGAGCAGACCTGGTGATCTGGCACTTTGCATCGCCCTCCCCCGACCCACGAGCCCCACCGGCGAGTATCCCGACCCCCTGCACCTTGCCTCCTGTACCCCGAAGGATTTCAAATTATTAGAAGAAAATGTTCAGATTGTGCAGGCTCAGCATCGCACCCCCCCTCCTCTTGTCCGGCTTATCCTCCTGTTCTGCAATAATAAACATGAGAGGGGGGTACACACTGAGAAAATAAAGCAATCAGTATTGGCCATTGTGTGATTTCCACCACAGAAGCAGAAAAGTGTTGAGACTGCGTAATGAAAAAACAAGCAGAGGGTAAGGAAACACCCCCGGAATAGCAAGAAAACGTCTCCAGCTAAGATTAGTTTTCTTATTACTTGACATTTTTTTTCTCTATCCGCATTTTTTCAAAATGTTCAGCTTCTGACCTTTGGCTTGTTTATTGTCTGCCTGTCCGTGTGATTTACCTAAAGCGCCCTTACAGTTTGCACTAATTCAGCAGAAAGACGCTTTTTGGGAAACTGTGGCCCCTTTGTAAGAATACAGTACACTTCTGGTTTGTTTTGTCACACGATGAAGGTCGCAGGGTTCATTCTGATGCGCTGTTATCGTTTGCCTGGCTGCTTAACCAGTCGTCAGACGGCACAAGCTTAGATGGATCCAACGTTCTCAAGGTCAGTGACATTTTTTGCTTGAATGGATACAGTTCACTGCAGAAGAGATAACTTGCAGTGAAAGACGGCCAAGCAGGACATCCACTGATCCTTCAGATTTGAACATAGGTTCAATTTGAACTACTACAGGAATGAAAAATAAATATCCTGTGCATTTTCATATCCTGACCAAAAAGTGATGGAAAATCGCAAGAATGAATGGGTTAACTCCCAAACCTGACAGTGCTAGCATGATAGCACGCAGTTAATTCCCAAGACTACAGACGCCGCTAGGTTCTGGTTTGGCAGGATTTCTTTCCGCGCTGAGAAGGAGAAGAAGGAACGAGTCAAAGAATGCTGAGTTTTGGTTCATGATGAAAAGTGTGGCAGGATAAATTTGACTATCACAGTCCAAGTAATTAATGGGAAACACTGGCGTTACAAAAACCCCGTAGATAATATCCCCACATGCATTTCTGGATATGGCCACTTGGTGGTTCAGTGAGCCCCCTGAACAGACACGCACTGTGGATTTTGAGATTCAAAAGTTAAAAAAGAGATGATGTAATCGGGACAGTTACGTTTTGTTAAAAAGATCAATTGAAATCAGAAAACCACTCGGACAAACATACATGTCTCATTTCCCAAAACATATGTTCAACCTGTCCCTGTTGATGTCTCAACCAACTGTCTTACCCAATGACCTTCATCTTGCACTTTTGTCTTTCACCCTCTTCGTGTCGTCCGCCTCGAGGAATCCGATATTCTCTTATTATTAATCTCTACTTGCTTTCAGCGTCTCTGTCCCAGTCAACATTCCTTTGTGTTACATTCCCGCAATCAGCACATAAAGCATTCATTGGAAAGTCAGTGACAATCCTCAGCAACACCGGCACTATGCACTTTCTTATTTGACGATTCGCAGGAACGAAAACTAACCTTGCTGATTTATTTGTTTCCTTCCTCCGTAAGTGATTCGAGCAGCAGATTTCACCGCTGTAAACATGTGCTGTCCTCATATGCGAGCTATACCATCAGCACGCACCGCACTCGCTGACCACGTTATGACCCACATATCACTTCATACAAGAACAGACATTTTATAGGCCACGCACCATGGATCATGTTGACAGCACTGTTATTTAGTGATTCGTCACTTGGCCGACATTCAAGGCCGTCACAATCTTCTACTCTAGGTCAACAGCGAGCGCCAAGTGGATCTTGTTTTGGTGTTTTTCTCCCTTCTTAGAAACAGTTATTAACTCGTTGTGGAGATTGGAAGTTAACAGACAGAACGTAGAACAGAACCGACAATAATTTTAAAATCATTTGGTGATCAAACATGTCATCAGAGGTGAGGTTTCACAGCTTTCTCTTTGTCTTTACCCTCAGATTACACCAAAATGAGTCAACAGATTTTCATGAAATTCGGTGGAAGGATGAAACATGGGCCAACAAAGAACTCATGAAATTGTGGCATGGATCTGGACAAAGGAGGGGGAGGTTCCAGGAAGAGAACAACTCATGAATCCTGATGAAAAATCTGTCAGATTTAAAGGACAAGACTCAAGAAATGTTGACTCGTTTATCAAAAGAAAATAATACATTTAATGAAGGGAGAAAAGGAATATATGCATGTATATTTTTGAACTATAAGATCTTAACTCAAGATTGAGTTTATTTTCTGTCACGTTCATCCACAGCTCATGCAGTTTGCTCAGATGTCGTCTTGTGACCAAGGAGATCAATTCCACCAACAACGAACACGATGACATCGAGCTGAAAGTTCATGGAAACAGCAAGTAGGTGGATTTTCACTCTCTGTAGCAGTTGTGATAACATTGCACCCCCCACGTTAAGTGCCCCACACTGTTTGATTAAAAAAGTAAAGTGTTAACTTAGAGCATATGTTTTGTGACAATTCCTTCATCACAAAGAAATGTGCCCAAATTGTGTACGAGCACAACTATGACACGTACAGGAGATCAAAGTTGAACCAGGAAGTTTGAAATCAGTTTGAACTAGTGAGTCTAAAAATATCACAACTGATTTAAATGACGGTCAGAGCAACACAAAGTAATTCCAAGTTGTAATCAACAAATGAAAATGAAAATGAAAAATCCATCCCCAGAAATCGACTCAAGCCGTGTATGATTTAGTTATTAAAAAAAAAAAATCATGGAGCTAAACAGGAAAACAATCATCTTAATCTCTCCAGCCTTCATCACAGTCGAACTACGTGACTGCTTCTTCACATGTTTTCCTTCTAAACCATTTTCTTGGATTGACGATGGAGGATTCAGCGTATTCTCGGTTAAAGGGTTTAAATTAATTAAGCAGCCACACGAAGGCATTTCTTATCAACAGAATGTGTTCCGGCTTGGTAAACATGCTTATTTGGGCATTTGTGTCGCACTGCTGTAATTGTGCTGCTCAGCCAATCTCAACTTTTCTTTTTTTTTTCGCGGTTGGTTTGCTTTCCCATCAGGATAATGAATAAGATGTAATTTTGTTGAATGATGTTGTCTGTGGCTTACGGGGGGAAAAGCATAAATAACGTGTTGTGCTGCCATCTGAGGCAAATCATTTGGCGCTCCTTAACTCAGCTGCGGCGCTGACAGCGTCGACAGGCTCAGTGCGTGAGGATCAGCTCACGAAGCTGGATTCATTTCTGCCGGATGATATTTGCATCTGGGATGTTTTTGGGGGCCTTCAAACTCATTGTGTATTATATAATCTGATAAAAATGCAAGGATTTGTTGGTGAAAGTTGGAAATCTGTTAGTTCCATCATAGTCAGGACTGACATGGAGCATTACCACTAATGCTTTTAACTGTCTTTTCATCTTAGCAGAGGAAAGAAGATGGGATGTGATCCTATGTAGGATGCCATCTTGGGTGGTAGACATCTGCCTTTGTTAACCGCCGTCCTCAGACCTCATTAATTTGGCTGTTTTGAGGTACTGACAGTTGAATCGTTTTCCAGAAAGTCCAGTCAGCCTGCAGTTGTTGCTGTAACTGTATCTGACTCAGTGAGAAGTTCCCTTAAGGTTCTCATTTGAGTGAAAGCAGGTAAATAGAGTCAGTACAGTCCTGTTTAGTTTTTATGTGTTTTCCAACTTGCATAACCATGAAATTTCCCACATGTTCCACATCAGCCGTCAGTGATTTGAGCTTTTCTGACTTTAGCGTAAATGTACCAGAGATTATAAGAACGCTCTCATTACAACATTTGGGACTTTTATGGCACAAATTGTGCTGGTGTTACACAATGCCACCCCCTTTTCTGGAGAGAATGGTGCAGCCTTGCACAATTGAAATCTATTAACTATCACGCATGCTTTTAAAACCAGCCGTTCCTTATTGATTTCTGTAATGGAGGGGGGGGG